CTAGTACATTTACACTTTAAAAGGAAGTGTACACATGATACATACATGTGTATGTAATTATGTATACATATGTGTACATATACAAAGTCTGAATGAGAATGAATGAGCTTTTAACTTATACAAAAACTATGATCTTTCTTTGTGTATGAGGAACAGAAATGTGGGGAAATAATCTTTAAATAATTAAATGTGACAATTCTGCCTTATCTTTAATTAATGACAAAGTAAAATCCAAGCACCTTGAGAGCCCGAGGATATTGTTCTACAATTATATTACAACCCATCCTTAATTGTTTCACTTGGATATTATTTATCTTCCTTTCCTCTGAGAATTCCTTCTGAGACCCTTAACACAGTTGCTACAACTCTTATTTCTATAGGCTTTATTACCCTGGAGGTTTGGCAGATTGCTTAGCACATTGACTTTAACAATTAAAGAAAGACTAGTTGTTTTCTTGAATAGAATTTATATTCGTCTTTGGCTGCTTTTGTTTTGCTTTGTTTGTTTTTTCAATAACATTACGAACTAGGAAAGTGAGCTAGTAGTTTGTTCTCCGTATATAAAAACTAAAGGAATATGCTGCTACTCCATGAGTTTGGTAACCAGAGAAAACTGGAATTGTTCTCTCTGGTTAAAACAACCAATCTTAAACCAAGAAGCTCACATTAGATGATTCAAAGAATGTGTTTGCAACCCAAAACAACCATCCTTGACAATCATACAAAAGAACAGACTAGCCACCTCATCACACTGAGGTTTTTGGGGACTTTGCTCTTCTTCGGGGATGGGGCCTGCCAAGTGCCATCACATGCCTCTGGCCATGCCCCCACCCCATTGATTGCCAAAGTGGTGAGAAAGTGTTGCAAGACACTTCATCACAAAAGATGGGAGGTAAGGCATTTTTTGGGTAGCTCTGACAGTTACCCACATATTTGACCCTTTCCCCCACCTCATGGGGACAGGGCAATGCAGCAATGTGCGTTTCCACCCTTTCCCCCATCTAATAGGAGCAGGGGCAAGGACAGTGCCAATGCACCTTGCCTGATGTCCTCATGTGATGGGGAAGGAGGGAGGGTGCATGGCTCTCTATGAGGCACCACGCGGGCATTCTGTTTCATCAGCAAAATGGAACTAAGTAAGAGGGGTCATCTATCTGCTGATGTCCTACATTTCAAATTTTCAACCTTCAACCAAATTAGGATCTGTGCTTTTTGGGGTCCCTCAGGCTAGCTGGTGGGTTCACCCAAGATTTTATCTCTATGGAAATACTAGTAATACATGATGTGTCACCAGTAGCATCTTCATATAGATTGAGCAGCATAGAATTCTGCCCTACCTCATTGAGAGGCCATTGCGAAAACAACACAAAACAAAAAATATAAAATCCTATTGCTATTCTCCTTGGGCTTGTCTACCCAGCTAAAATACTTGTACTCACCTCATAGCCACAGTAATCTGGACAAGAGACGGTCTTTGATATTTGGAATGTAGTTCTTTAAGCTTTCATCTGGTTCATTTTCTGCAGAAATTTACCAGGAAAGCTGAATTTTTAGCATGCAGCTGGCTCTCCAAGGTGGTATCACATTGCTATGGAGTTGAGAGCAGTTAGTGATTGCTGGAACAGGTTGATGAAAGCTTCTTTCTGACTCACCTACACAAATACATTTGGTGGAAATACATGAAAAGGTCCTCTCAATGGTTGTTCCCAGGCTTGGGAACTTCTTTCCCAGAGAAAATAGACCTTCCTTGCTATCCTTCTATTGGCAGACGAAGACCTTTTTGTTTCAGCACATTTATGAGATCTGTATTGTTCACATTTGTTGCTTTTATTCTTATGTGTTATACTTTTAACTAATTCTAATTCTATTGATAGTTTAATTATGTTTTGTACGCTAGTGTTCTGCCAAAAAAAATTAAAAACAGATATAAGAGACCATTGAGATTTATGACATGCATGGTTGACAATCAGGAAGCAACTATTGAAAACAGACACTGGGGAAAAACTGCATCTCTACAAATATACAACAGTTAAAATATAATTAAATTAAGAGGATTAAAATCAATTTAAAAGCATATCCATTAAAATAGCACATACAGACAGTACAGCACATTATTAAAAGCTCCTCCCCATAAGCAATCACTTCCCAAAGACTTGTCAAAACAACATCTGAAAGAACTTAACAGCTTATGGCAACTAGTAGACCTTTTTGACTTATGGCAACTCTAAGGGGTTTCTCTGCAAGATTTGTTCAAAAAGGGTTTGCCTTTGGCTTCCTCTGAGGCTGAGAGGAAGGCAAAGGCAGACCCCCACTGAACAAATCTGAACATATAAAAATGATCCACATGAGTAGACAGTCTTTTCCTCATGCCTAGAATCTGTGATATGTTCTTTGCAGATACAAGCTTTGGTGAATGAATCCAAAGCAAAATCAAAGCTTATTATTCATCCCAAGTGAACATGGGGAAAAAATTAAAAAAATATTTCCAAAAGAGAAATGAATTTTCTCTACCCAGGTAGCCTGCTTAAAATCAGAATTCATAGCTGAATGGTAAGGCCACCAATGTTAAAGGGTGTTGAAAGTGCTGAGTTCAAAGGTAGATTTTTTTGGTAGATGAGTAGGTAGGTATGTTAAGAGGAAAACATAGAATTTTTAATTAAAAAAATAGAAGCTATTTTTTAATATCATGATTCCCAGTGCCTCTCCATACTCACAGAGCTAGTAGGAAAAAAACATTTTTTAAAGTTGGCAATAAGTATGATATTTCTTGACACAGGAAATCACAGTATAGCTGCAGGAAACTGTTTATCAAATTGTAAGTTTGGGGAAATATTACTATCAACCTCATAAATGTTGGGAGACAATATTAGCCATAGATTTAATGCCAACATGGGAACTCTCCCATATTGTCCTGCTGGTGGCATGTGCCAACTCCACCCTTCTTCAGCCACGGAGCTGGCCAGCTACCATCACGTGGTGCCATGCCAGCTCTGTGGGTGAAGGAAGACAGAGCCAGTGCTGTCAATATGTCCCATGTTGCCATTATGTCTATGGGGGGAAGCTATGCACATCATGCATGCTCATGCTTCCCCCCGCCCCCACGTGATTGCCTTCCCATGAGTCCGAGCGATGTGGGACACTGTATTCCCCACATCCCTCTCTGAAGTGGAGCATCAAAAATATGTCCCATACTTTTTGCCTCCCAATTGAGTGTGTGGTATAAAAAGAAATGACACAGGTTGTTGTTGTTGTTTTTTTTGGGGGGGGGGGGGGGGGGGGGTTGCAAGAATACTGTAACATCATAAATGGGTTGTACATATGTCACTGGCAACAGCATATCCTCCAACATTTTACAGATGAAATCTGGGATGTGTGCCAAGCAATGTCAAAGTATGGTCAAGGTTGAAGAACACATAAGCCAAAAGGATTGCAAGAGTCTGCTTTTGTCTGAGTCTACCAGAAAAGGAAGATTCTACCTCCTTTCCTCCCTGCTGAGTGCAAACTATTTTTCACTTTGAACTCTATTTCTACCAATTGAATTAAGCTGAGGACAAAGGGGAGAGGTGAGGGGATACAAGAGAAAATATGACATTTAAAAGAAACTCAAAATGTAGGAAGACAGAGCAATAATGAAAACCATCCCTTCCAAAAAGGACAGTTGAGAGTATGCCATCAGTGTGTGTATACAGATTAAGAAATAAATAAAAAAGGAAGGAGGGAGGGAAGGAAGGAAGACTTAATCAACATCTGTCTAGATAGAAGTCATAGCAAAAGAATATAAATACATCACCAAATGCAGTATGTTTCCCACGCCATTATAATATAACTGAAAATGGCATGCCTAAATGTGAATACCACAGCTTGTTCTTTTTGGCTTGCTAAGGGTTGCTTTCATTTTATGAAACGTGCTCTGGTCTTTGCTGCAGGGAAGTAAGAAAAAAAAACTGTGATTATGTTGTAACATTTGTGTGGCAAAAAACTCCTAGAGAAACTATCTTGAGTGCCACGCGCATATATATATATATATATATTCGTTTTGCTAGAAGAAATGTGCTACAATTGCAATGTAATGGAACCAGATACCTCCTTGTCCCTGAATAGGCAACTACTTTAGAGAACAGCTTTTCAGCCACCATAAATAAATTTGAGGGAGAAAGGATGAAAAGCCTTCAAGAGATTATTCTCCAGCTATTTGGTGTTTGGATTTACAGCAGGCAATTTCAAGAGTTGTTGTGGCCTTGAGTCTTCCTATAGTGCATTTGACACTACTCCAAGCCTGCAGACAAAGTAAATAACTTGATTTCATTTATGGGACAAATTTAGAGATCAAAACAGATGGAGTTTCAAGACTGCTGGGCATTTTTTTTGCCCCCAAGGTGAACTGTACTATGTGTTTGGAGGAATTGGCTGGATATGTTTTCCCCCCCTTCTGATATCCAGACAATAATTGTTAACAAGGGAATGCAATAGAGCAAATATAAGAATTCTAGGCATCAATGATTTTCAGTGTTTCAGCTATTAAAATCTAGGAATTTCAGGACAGGGGAAAATGTATTTTAGGGAGCAAAGTTCCTGTTTTTTGGGGGGGGGCAATGCCCTCATTTTGCCATTCTTAACTACACCCCTACAGAAGGCTTCACCTATATATCACAAATGACAGAATACAAGTTGTTACAGATTCCACCATTAAAATGAGAATTGCCTGTTTTCTGATTCCGTAAACTGAGCACAAACCCTCAACTTCTGGAAGCAGAACAGTTTGCTTTTTGAGGTTATCAGAAGAATACTCTTCAAGAGTTGCTCTTCTCTGGACTTCACTTTACTGAAGAAAGGGTAGAGTGTAGAGAAAAGGTGAGCTGTGCTAACAGATATGCAGAGCTGCACTTATCCCTAGAGGGTGAGGTTCTGGGTGGGTGGGACCAGGTAAAGAGTTTTTGTTCCCTATTGGTTGAGTAGTTTGGGTAACTGGAATCCTCCTGAGACATAAGACAAATAAAGACTCAAACTGATGGACACCACCTTAAATGGACAGAGATTTAGTTCTTTACCTGTGCTGCTTGTTGTAGTTTTTTTAAAAAAATCCTTGTAAAATTAGCTGTTCATTTCTTTTCTCTTTATTTTCTGTCACTCTGAACACTTTTTCTTCCATTTCCTACAACCAAATCAAGGACTGTTTACTTTCTTCTCTTTTTAAATATCTTTTTTTAAAGTGAGAGATTGTGATTTCTCTTTTATTTCCTCTTTTTTTTCTTTTGAAAGAAAGTGCTTTGATATTATCTGGAACTATGCATAACCGAACAAAAGACAGGTAAGTAAATAGTTCTGCTACCTCTTTTATCAAATCATATGATATCAAGGTTTGCTGATGCTTCATGGAAGGCAGGCATTGGAAAGCATGGTATGGTTCAGAATATGCTGGAAAGGATATACTAAAGTTGAATGCCTAGGGATAATTTAATTACTGACACTTAGGAATAAACCTAGTTAAGTAAGAAGAAACATATTTCAAAGTCAATATGCAGGGATTTTTAAATACTGGAAGGAAAAATGTGCCACTGAGGAGAGAAAGATACATAGAAAGGAGAATGACAGAACAGATGCTATTTGCCATTTAAAATGTTTGTAGTTCTCTTTTTAATTAGCAAAAAGAACACGCTGATGTATTTTTTCCTATTTGTATAATATATGCACTAGTTTATGATGCTTATCTCTAGATGTACATTTCTGCAACTAAAATGAACTGTACTTATTGATAATGTTATGTGTATATATGTTTTTCTCCGCACAAACACATGCAGACACAGAGACACATTCATTTTTATACATTCACAAAACTGTCACTCTAAAGAAATTTGATCACCCAAGATTTCATCTTTGAAAAGGATTGTTAATACATTGTCACTCTAGTTTACATGCTGGGACTCAACTTTGCTTTTTCTCAAAAAAAGAAAGAAAGAAAGAAAAAGGAATGATCAAATATAAGACTGACTTTGAGAAACTAAAATTAATATGTCAAAAGTTGGTATATTTATTCACCACTTTTGTTACTTTCTAACACTGTTTTCATAGAGTAGATTTCATACTTTGAATCTACTCTATATCAGTTTAGTTTAACTGAAAAGGTTAACTTCTCAGATTATAAAGCGTGGAGGATTCAGTGTTTTTGTTTTGCATATGAATGGGTCAGTAACCACAACCCTGGGCCCTTCTACACAGCCATGTAACTCAGGGCCCTTCAACATGGCCCTATATCTCAGAATATCAAGGCAGAAAATACCACATTATCTGATTGTGGACTCAGATAACCCAGTTCAAAGCAGATATTGTGGGATTTTCTGTTTTGATATTCTGGGATATAGGGCTGGGTGGAAGGGTCCCCAGAATATCAAAGCAGAAAATCCCACAATATCTGTTTTGAACTGGGTTATCTGAGTCCACCGTGCCATATATTCCAGTTCAAAACAAAGATGTGGGGTTTTATTCAGCTGTGTGGAAGGGGCCTATCTCTCTTTCATTATTTTATTTCTACTCATAAGATCAAGGCTTGGGTTAGGGGAGATTTCAGAAGAAACCTCTTATAAAGACAACTGCATCTTACTGTAGCATGCTACTCTAGCACAAGTTGCAAATTTATCCCATTTTTCTAAACTGCAGTGCAACATCTGATAAATAACTGGCATGCCTATTAGATCAACTACACTGCAGAATTATAGCAGTTTGACACTACTTTTACTGCCATGGTTCCATCCTATGGAATCCTGGGATTTGTCATTTGTTCTGGCATCACAGCTATAGAAGGGCAAATATCACATAAAACTGCAAATACTAGAATCCCATAGCATTGAGCAATAGCAGCAAATATGATGTCAAACCACTATAATTCTGTAGTGTGGATACCATATTCCACCACAGCAGGTTCAGTAGAATATGACATGCTCAATTAGCTACATGAATATTTGATTTGAGACTGAAATTTGCACATGAAAAAAATGGACTTAGATTAGCTTACACTGATCACTGGGAATTTTACACTGTCCATAGGTTTGTGCATAGTAATATTTCAGCAATTGTCACAAGTTTTTTTTCTTTGAACTTGTGGAGAGCTGTGTCTCTGAGGGCCCTTCCACACAGCCCTATATCCCAGAATATAAAGGCAGAAAATCCCACATTATCCAAGTGTGGATTCAGATAATCCAGTTCAAAACAGATACTGTGGGATTTTCTAAAAGCCTTGATATTCTGAGCTTACTGCAGCTGCTTTGGTGTGCACAGAAAAATTAATTTATATTCCAAGAAACCATGGAATATAGATTGATTTGTTTTTACACAAGGAGAAAATTTTGTTAGGCAACAAGACCTTCCATCTGGAGATAGCTGTTTAGTTCAGTCAAATTCCTCCAAAATAACTTGATTTATCATTTGAACAAAGACTTGGGAAACATTAGTTCTTTTCAAAGTTCTCTTCTATACAGTCATATAACCCAGAATATCAAGGCAGAAAATCCCACAATATCTGCTTTGAACTGGGTTTTTTGAGTCCACAGTGCCATATATTCCAGTTCAAAGCAGATAATGTGGGATTTATTTGGTTGTGTGGAAAGAGGCCAAAGGGCATTCTAGACAGGCCCTATATCACAGGATCTGATCCCAGGTTTTCTGTTTATCCCAAATTATCTGGCAGTGAAGACTCATATAATCCGGTTGAAAGCAGAAATCTGGGATCAGACCCTGGGATATAGGGCCTGTCTGGAAAGGCCCTAAGATGTTAGAAACTGAGGCTGGGTTGCCATATAAAAGCCTATCAACATAATACAGTTCGGTATACATTTTAAATGGTCCTTCATAACGAAAAAATAATAGTCCTTTAGATGCAGACTTTGTGCGCAGTGAATTCCTTGCTTCCATAAAATTGTTCAAGTCATAAGTTTGTTAACCTGAAACTGGTTTATCAGGCATGCATTGATAGGTGTTTTTGCAATCAACTCCTTAGTGCAGTCATGGGCAAACTTTGGCCCTCCAGGTGTTTTGAACTTCAACTCCCACAATTGCTGAAATCCAAATCACCAGGAAGGCCAAAGTTTGTCCATGCCATAGGGTTTCTGTATAGGGTTTAAGCTCTCAGGGGACCTGGCCTTGGAAAGGGTTAACACTCTGGGGATTTAGCTGAGAGGCAGGAGGCTGATCTCACTCCCAAGACTGGTAGGAACATGCCTAATGAAAAGGCATTTCAAAGAATTCAGGCTTGCAGTGAGGAATTTCAGCAGGTAGGTTCCTGCTCAGACCTTTTGTTTGCAAGAAGTTCTCAAAAGCTTTCAGACAAGTCTTGACATACCCAAGGGAGAGGCCTGCAACTGCAGGTTTGTACTTTAAAAGAAAAGCCTTCAAGCATTTTGAAGTCCTGTATCAGCACCTGCATGGTTTAGTAACTCAGAATTTAGAATCTGTGCTTTCTGACATAAGATATATCATTATTAGGGTGGGGGTGGAACAGTGTACTTTAAGGTTGCCCTGTATTCCCAAGTCAATTTACTAAATCTTATTGCAACTATCCATCTGTATCCATCTTTCAAAAAACATTCTAAATAACATGACAAGGATTTCTCCCCAATCACTGCACTGGAAAAGATAACTTTCTTTGGAAACATTAAGAACTTTCAATTAATTATGTGCTTGTATACATGGAAGCAACTGTCATTACGTTCATTTGCCTTACTCTCAAGTATGTGTGCATAGGATCCGAATGGAAAAAGTTGCTGTAACTCACTTGAAATTTAGAGAAAAACAACCCCATCTCTGTGCTTTATTGCAAATGCTATGATATATTGGCAAAGCAATTTAATTTCTCTGTGCTTCAGGTTAGCAGTGCACCTTACAATGGAAGGAAGAATGGGAACTCTCATCCCTCTCCAGACAAAGTGCAGGGGTAAATCGGACTGTGAGCATATGATCATGTAAGTTTGAAGTACAACCCATTAAATTCATTGAAACTTGCTTCTAAGTAAGCATACCTAGGACTGGAATATTAATCAATAACTGGGAATTGTAAAAAAATATACTTAAGGTTTTCGTAACTGTTGTATTCTCTTGTCCTCCTCTGGTAAATGGAAGTAATTATTTCTTTCTCACAGTGATTTTTGTAAGATGCATTTGAACTCATTTTCCATACACTTTTTGTCCATTTCTTTTATTCATTGCTTTGTAGCAAACCAATTTAATGATTACAAATCAATATAAATTACACCCTTAGACGGAAGCATCTATTCAATATCTGAGAATGATTGTTAAATAAAATTTTCTACAATTAAGTCAACATGCTGTGAAATAAAACCAAATCATGTTACCACAAAGGTTAGAAAGGATGATTTGCTCTCTCTGAAATAGAGATCATTTGATCTCATTGAATAGCACTTACATCCACAATGAATGACATTCCCCTTTCTATGATATCTTTTTGAATATCTCTTGTTCATACTTTTTTCTTTTATTAAGATCACTGAGTTGATAGACCCATTTTCTTCTGTATTTCCATAGGAACATTCAACGGTAATTCTATCTGTCGTGTTCTTTGGGCACATCCACTTCTCCCACCCTGTGTCCCAGATATAAAAAGCTATCTGCCAAACAGTGACAGTAGTTTAACCATATAGCAGAAACGATGGAGAAATTACCTGCCATTGGCTTATTTTGTTCCATTTATACCCCATACCTGTGACCAGGAGATTTTAGTACTTTTGTCCAATATTGTGCTATTTAACAAGAGTAGCCAGCGATCCTCACTGTTCTGTGGTGACTCACATAGGCATTGTGCATATGAACCTACATGTAGTATTTTGCCAGCTTATTAAAAGGCAGTGGCATCAGCAGGGATCTCACTTTGGACCCGTTAGGCATCTGACATCCCCATAGATTTATGACTGAAAATAACATTTTAGTGTGGAAACATCAACTATTTGAATTTACCCTGAGAAACGATCTGAGATAGGATTAGAAAGCAAGCCTTTACGTTTTCCTTGGGGCTTGTTTATAGCAAGTGTTATCTAATTCCTTGCCTACAGATGTTCATCCATTCCAATATATTGGTGATCTCTAGCTGTGAGAATAGATGAGCTTCCAGAGACAAATGTTTCAAGGTTGCCCAGGAGTTGCCTAATGCCTTTCACTGTCAGAATGGCATGTGGACTTTACTTGCTTAAGAATTTCTTCACCGCTGTTAAGAGTTCACACTAAAGGGATAAATCTGCACAGAGTAACTAAAAAACCAGTGGTGAAATAGTTTGCAATATATGTAAAAAAATCTAACCCAAGTAGTTTACAGAACAAAGAGCTTCTCAAAAGGCTGTGTGTACAAAGATCATTTTAAAAATTATTTCCCTCCAGCTGTAATTTGAAATACAGTTTTTACCTTTGTATACTGTCTTTTGGTCTCATGACATGTTTTGTTTTTCACAGTGCTCCAAGCAAATAAAGAATATTCCATGAGTTCTATTGTCCTTCATTCCACCGGAGTCTGTCTCATAACTAATCAGATTTCAGTGGAATGAAGCACAAGAGACATGGAGTTGAATCCACTAAGACTTCAGTTTGACTCCAGAAAGCAATATGCTGTACTAAAGCAGTCAGAAGCAGTCTCTCCCAACATATTCTGTGTTGGGAAATGGTAATGTAGAAAAAATGAGTAACAAGCATTTTAGTGGCATATGTGTACTTTGATATGTTTGGAAGAAAACTTTTGAAAATCTATTTATGACTTATTTCCAGTGGGTTTTTTTCTCTCTCTCTCTTTCATGTTTTAAAAAGGAATGATTTCTTGAGAATGTAGAAGTCAATTGTGGAGCTTCTTTCCAAATCCATCTGAACAAGTTTTATAGGAATTGAAAAAACATGCTGAGGAAATGCATTCCTTATGATAAAATGCAATTTTCCAAGTCCTGTACCAAAGTGATTTGCTACATCGTGATAACTTTGTTCTGTACATAATATTCTATTCCTGGCCAACAATGTGCTACCATCTATAATTCTTTTTTTCTTTTTTTTGGATTTTTTACCTTTTGGAAACAAACCACATAATCAAATTCTTACATGTATTGTATTAGAAGTGTGATCTGATCAGGCCTGCTATAGTCCTGTTTGCTTTCCATGCTCATGTTTTTCCAAGGATTATGTGTAATTAATTGGAGGCAGGCAAGCTTTGCCTTTATTTCTGTTGCCTTGTCTCAGGAGATCTCACATTTATGGCATGTTGATGTTATCATCATCATCACCATTATCATCGTCACCATCATTATTATGTCACTTTTTTCCCCAATTTAGGACTCAAAGCAGCTTACAACAACGAAAAAGGTATATTTAAAAATCCACAACAAACAAAGGTGAAAACATGATTAATTAATTAAAAAACCTTGGCTTAAACATGCATAATTAAAACACACACCAGAATGATAGTTGCCCGTTTCCATGATATTGTTTAAGATGGGCCTTATCAAATGCCTGTTGGAATAGCAAAGTCTTTACTTGTCTGAGAAAAAAGTAGGAATCATGTCAGTCTAACTTCTCTGGGAAGGGAATTCCAGGACCATGAGGCAGCCACTGAGAAGGCCCTCTCCTACATTCCCACCTGATCTACTTGTATGGGTGGTAGGTCAGAAGAAAGGCCCTTTCCAGTAGACCCCAAACCATTGACCGGTTTGTAAGGAAAAATGGGGTCTTTCAAATAATCTAAGCCATGCAGGATTTTAAATAACCAGCCGTTTGCATTCTGCTCGGAAATTGACATAGGTAGCCAAGTGGATCTGTTGCAACAAGAGAGCAATGTCTTCCATTCATATGTGATGACCATTTGCAATAACGGAAACATAAATCATTTCTGCACTGAAAGCTCTTAGGATTTTAAAGCCAGGACCCATAATATAGCTTTTACATCACATGCGTACATTGTCTGCTTAGAAGCACTATTGAGTTCAATGGGGTTTAATTCTGATACGTGAGTGTATAGAATTGCAAGCATTAAAGTGTCACTGCAAAATCTGCAAAGGTTAATGCAGTTAAAAATATTTGACAGGTAAAACTGTTTTATCTCACTAATTGTTCAAAAGATGTTATGGCCTTTTCATAGATTTAACCTCCCTGAGAGCCACAAGCAAAAAAGACAAGGACTGGCAGACTTTTAAAAGTTCCAAATCATTGCTTTTCACCGTAGCTATGAATTATCTCCTTGGATAGATTTAGTACTGTGTTCCAAAAATTATACAGTATTTTTATCTCACTTCCTGCCTATTTTTTATTTTACAGTGATTCTGGGGGGGGGGGGGGGGGGGGAATCCAAAGCCTAAGATATGTGACCTTCCTTCCAAACTTAAAGCTCAGCAACACTCTGTGTTAAATAAGACAATGTGGTATTTTCTTTAATCAAAGCAATTTGTGTGTTTCAACAAATCCAGTTTTGTTTCTGTTGTGACTGACAACCTATAAGAACTGGATTCCAACCCTGGGTATCTTTAAAGGTATCATTCTAAAACCACAAGATTTCTCAATACAACAAAACTGTTAATTATGTATCACTTCCGTATACATTTTGCCTCCCTCTCCCCCCCAAGAACACAAAGTAGCAAACATGGTGTCCCAACTTAATCCTCTCAATGACCTTATGGACTATTTCAAGCAGAGATGTACTGGGCAAAGGGCACACGCCCTTATTCAGTAGCAATTTGAACATGGTTCTGTCAAATTCAGATGCAACATTTTCCAAAGCATGGAAAGTCACTTTTAAGAAGAATTAACATAATAGTATATTAAAGCCATGCATGTCTGACCAGTGGTTTGAAGGCAATCTCGATCCCATGCTCTTCTCTGAATTACTGCACCACACTGGGGCCCCTTCTACACTGTCAATGGTTCTTTAATGCATATATAGTGGGACTGTGAAAAGATACAAAAATATAATAAAATAAGGAGATGGAAGAACGAATAGGGCAAAAAGTGGAACTGAATAAAAGGGATTTTTTTATTGAGAAAATTGATGGCAAGGGCAGCACTAACAAATGGGCAGGTATCATGAAACATGTGATATGGCAGCTCAACCTACCATAGCTGTGGGCTGGAAAGAGCAGGAAAATGAGATTTTAAAAAATGGTTTGAATATTTAGCATACCGTATACTCCAGGATTATGTTTTTTGAAAGGAGGATGAAATACACAACAGGGTGCTGTAAGATGAACTGCAACTCAAAATGGAGAACTTCATTTCGAGGTATGTACGAATTATAACATTGCCAGATAATTTTATTTTCTTTAAATAAAGTTTAAAATGCAGAAATGTATAAGAAGTGCACATAACTTAGTAATAAGCTCAGTAAAGACATAAACAACCTAAGTATCATTCACATTTTCATAGTGTATTTAGACATATTAGACAGTATGAATCCCAGGATTCCATAGAATGGGGCTATTATCCTTGTAGTGGTTATGATTATGTGTAACACTTAATCCAGTCCATAAAGCATCTTTGCTTGGCCGTTAGCCTTATCAGATGTTCATGATTGGATGTTCCTTTAACTACTTAAAGTAGCATTTGAAAAAAAATGAATTGATCTATATGTGTCGTTTTTGTAAACATAAGTGCACACTATATGGACATTATTTAAAAATCTAGAGAAGGGTAAACACTAATGTGCATCTGGTTTTCTAGAAAACCAGGTGCATATTAGTGTTCACCCTTCTCTAAATTTTTAAATAATGTCCATATATCTTCAAGTTCCCTTTCTTACAATTAATGGCCAAAACCAGCTTTATCATTAGGCCAGCTGAGGCAACTGGATCAGGGAATGACCACCAGCAGCAGCTTCCATTTGTTCCCCATTAACTCTTCAAAGCTCTGTCTCCTTCAGCTGGATAAAAGAGCTGTTTTTGCTATGCAATCTATTCTGGGCTCCTTAAATTACCCAAATGCCTGAGGCATGGTAGACAGTACTATTCCACTGATGTGCTAAAGACAGATTCAACTGCCAGTCTAGTCAGTTTTTCTATACTTGTTCTTCACCTCAGGCAGCAAACAGTTTTAACTTGTCTCTGCTGATGGCCTAATACCCAAGTGTTTTATAATTTTGAAGCTCTTATTGCTAGGTCTTGTCCCTCCTCAGACTACCAAGGGAGTTGGGATAATGTCTAGAAAAGTGACTGCTCAAAATTCAAGGTGCTGAATTCAGTCAAGATCAAATGAATGAGCCTATGTACATCTGACAATATTAGGAATTTAAACATGGATTTAACCTTTTTGAAAACACATATTTTGCTGAAATTCTCCCTATAACATCAACAATATCAAATATATCCACTGAGATTCTGCCTCCTTCCCTTCTGCCAATACACATCTTTCTGTCCAGCTGTCAGTGCCCTTATGTAAGCTGAAACTTGGCGTAATGATCAGGTTGCTGCTTGTTCCCTAATCACCGTATACTGGCCTTTATTCTCAGCTTGCTTCACAAAGGACTTTACATCAAATTCAGCACATTCTACGTTTTCACCCATGAAATATTGGAGGGTAGCATCAGTGTTCTCAAGAAAGCTCCAAAATAAAATGTCAAAATCCACAACTCCTATAAAGAACTGCCACTACAAAATTTGCATATTCATTTGTGATATGCCACATTTATTTGGAATGCAGACCCAGCAAACGTTTGAATTGCAAATTACACAACTGTTTTTATTTTGTGTTATTTTAGATGATTCTATTGATAAGCAGAAACTGTCCCAATTTCAATAATCTTTGGTTGCCCCACGTTCTCAGCTGCTTTTCAACTGTATGTGTCTTTCTCCTCTTCCCAATTTGCCCTTTGTTCTCAGCTTGCTTCAAAAAAGTTTACACCGAACTCAGCACATTCTACATGACCTGGTTTTCACCCATGAAATGTTGGAGGGTGTAGCATCAATATTCTCAAGAAAGTTTCAAAACAAAATTTCAAAATCCACCACTCTTATACAGAATTGCCACTACAAAACTTGCATATTTATTTGTGATATGCCACATTTATTTGGAATGCAGACCCAGCAAACCTTTGAATTGCAAATTACACAACTCTTTTGTTTTGTGTTATTTTAGACAATTCTATTGATAAGCAGAATTTATGTCTAGAGCCTAAGGGGAGTTAATACATAGAAGTGGCTGAGTTCACTGGTCTCTTTCTAAAGCATGATGACTACTGACATTTTCAGATCTAATTTTACAAATCCAATAACCATGACACCAGAATGAAAAGCAACTTTTGAAATGATTCAAGCCTTCTACAGAAGGTCACTCAGTAGGGATTAGGCATAAATTGTGCCTTTGTCCACTGATCTATTTTAAGTCCCTTAGAATTACCCAAATACAGAATCATTAGAGTGCCCTTACCTTCTGTGATCAAGATTACAACTGTGGCACTGTTGTTTATAAATGCATATTATAGATCCATAGGGTAAGCAAGTAATGCAGTAAATTTTAAGGAAGAGACCTAGTCAGTGCATTCAGATGGGGGGGGGGGGTATTTGGTCATGTGCTGCATGATCCTGCTTTCTGTGCCTCCACAGTATCTCAAGCTCCTGGAACACATCCATCACAGAACACTTATTCTAAAATATGACCGCCTGAATGAGTGGGCCCCAAAATATCTGAGAACAACCCATTTTTAGAATGACAAAAATTAAACCCTGATCCACTTCACATAGGAAGACCTTGGTACAAATGCTGAAATAATAATAATAGCAGCAACAACAACAGCAACAACAATACACTTTATTCTTATTCCACTTTATCTCCCCGGAGGGACACAGAGCAGATTACAGTATACACAGCCCTGACAACTCAGCAGCCCGCTGTGAAGCATTTGCTCGGTTCTTTGCAGACAAAGTCACTTTGATCTGTTCTGGTCTGGACACCATGTTAACGGCAATCTCTGAGGATGTAACACGAGCATCTGCTTGTCCGGTTTTGATGGATTCATTTCAATTGGTGAAACCCAAGGATGTGGACAAGATACTTGGAGGAATGAGATCGACAACATGCATCCTAGACCCCTGCCCATCCTGGCTTCTAAAGGAAGATAGAGGGGGATTGGCCGAGTGGGTAAAAGTGGTGGTTAATGCCTCCCTTCAGGAAGGCAATATTCCAGCGAGCTTAAAACAAGCTTTAATTCTCCCATGTTGTTCAACATATACATGAAGCTGCTGGGGGAGATCATCCGGAGTTTCGGGGTGCGGTGTCATCTGTACGCAGATGATGTCCAACTCTGTCACTTCTTCCCACCCACTACTAAGGAGGCTGTCCAGGTCCTGTACTGCTTGGCCGCTGCAACGATCTGGATGAGGGCGAACAAATTGAAATTGAATCCAGACAAGACAGAGGTACTCCTGGTCAGTCGCAAGGCTGAACAGGGCATAGGGTTACAGCCTGTGTTGGATGGGGTTACACTCCCCCTGAAGACGCAGGTTCGCAGCTTGGGTGTAATTCTGGATTCATCGCTAGCCTGGAACCTCAGGTTTCAGCAGTGACCAGGGAGCATTTGCATAGTTAAAACTTGTGTGCCAGCTGCTCTCGTACCTTGGGAAGTCTGACTTGGCCACGGTAGTTCACACTCTGGTTACATCCCGTATAGACTACTGCAATGCTCGCTACGTGGGGTTGCCTTTGAAGATGGTCTGGAAGCTTCAACTAGTCCAACGAACAGCAGCCAGGTTGCTAACAGGAATGGCACTCAGGGAGCATACAACCCCCTTGTTGCGCCAGCTCCATTGGCTGCCTGTTTGCTACTGGGCCCAATTCAAAGTGCTGGCTTTGGCCTATAAAGTCCTAAAGGGTTCTATCCCAACTTACCTGTCCAAATGTGTCTCCCCTTACAAAGCATCAAGGACTCTAAGATCATCTGGGGAGGCCCTGCTCTCAGTCCTGCCTTCGTCTCAAGTACGTTTAGCAGGGACGAGAGACAGGGCCTTCTCAGTGGTGGCCCCTCGGCTATAGAACACCCTCCCTAGGGAGATTAGATCTGCTCCCTCCCTCTTAATGTTTTGGAGGCAAGTTAAAACATGGCTGTTCGAGCAAACGTTTAAAAATGCAGAGTAGCTAATATAGGAAATTGAACGATTTGACAATGGAACTGGACAATGCTTGATAATAATGAGACGTTAATGATGTTTTTATTGCTTTTGTGGTGTTTTATATTGTTTAATGTTTTAATCTGTATTATGTTTTTATATGTATTGATTTGTTAGAAACCGTCTTGAGTCGCCTTGGCTGAGAAAGGCGGTATACAAATACAGCAAATAAATAAATAAATA